TTTTTTTAATAATATAGAATGTAAAACTATTACGAACATTTGAAAAATATTTCCAATGTTTCGTAAAACAAATCTAGATTATTTATTTAAAATAAAATCAGTAATGAAAATTCTAGTCGAACGGGGCCCGACTATATAATACGTTTCACGATTTTGGGTACATACAAGAGATGCTCATATATAGCATTTCCACATTAAATGAAACCTTTTACAAATTAAATGAACCCTTTTCCAAATTAAATGAAACCTTTTCCAAATTAAATGAAACCTTTTCCAAATTAAATGAACCCTTTTCCAAATTAAATGAAACCTTTTCCAATTGAAATGAAACCTTTTACAAATAGAATGAAACCTTTTCCAATTGAAATGAAACCTTTTACAAATAGAATGAAACTTTTTCCAAATTAAATGAAACCTTTATTCTTATCTAAGGAAATATAATATTTGCAGTAATTTTAAACCAATATTTGAAAATTAAATCAAAGAATATTGACAACTATAGTTGTATGGCTATGTAATTAAAATAAATATTCTTTATTTCGGTGTGATTTCATTTAATATCTTTACTACATAAAACTAAATAAATAGTAATACAAACTGGGGTATTTCTTGACATATTAATAAATAAATATTTAAGAACAAGAATTGAATACCCGGTCCTAAATGCGAAATACATATTTGACTTAATAAATTGTTGATGATAAGGTAACTGCTTATCTTATTGAAGGGGTTCCCGACTTGCAGCTTGTGGGATTTTCAAAACCATGTCCATAACGTAGTTAGAACAATCTTGCCGAGTAAGCTTTTGAATACTTCGCTCGATTACATCAACAATGTTATGTTCCATTGAAACGTCACACAGCTCAGCTCTTGGACATAATTTTATTTTTGAAAATGCATCTTCGATTGGATTTGCATTGGAGAATAAGGCGGTAAGAATTTAAGGTTGCATCTTTTGGATTCGATCAAATTTTTTATGTCATGTCGCTTGTGTATTTGAGCGTTATTTTCCAACTCTGGATTGATTTTCTCAAAAAAAAATTCTATAAATAATTTAAATCTATCTGCATTGACACTGGAATTAGAAACGATTGTGTGATGTACAACTCCCGCGTTGTTTATTGCTGCAATTATAGTGACATTACGACCTCTGACCGTAGGCAACACAATGTGTGCTCTTGTTCCTTGTTATGAATGGGCTTGGGTTCTTCGTATGTGAAGATTAAATCCACACTCATCAATGAATATTTATTTTTCTCCTTGTTGGGGTATCCATTTTGTAAAGTCTTGAGCATATTTTTGTCTCAAGCCTAATGTTCTGGAGTCATTCTTTCGTTCTATTTCAATAGAGGCCATCTTCAACGTAATTTTTAATTTCCGTAATCCATATTCTATGCAGCTTGTGGAAATATTTATATCATTTTCTCTCAACAGTTTAGTTTTTATGGCTTTGAGGGTAATTCCAGGTTGACTTTCTATATAGAACTCGATCAGACTTAAAACTTGTGGTGTCAACAACTTAGTTCTATTTCCTCCACGCTTATTTTCCTTCAATGTCCCAAAATTTTGTTTGTATCTTCTTATAAATGTTTTTTCGGAATTTATTTTTATGTAGGCTGGAGGTTTGCAGCCTCGGAAATGGTTCTCCCCTCTTCATAGAATTTAAATAATAACAATTTCATGTCTTTTGTTATTTTGTTATACTGACCCAATTTGTTTCGGGGTCTTGTAGATGTAGCTTCGGTAGGTTCTGGAGCATTTCCACTTGCAATACTTGGCGAGGATATTGATTCTTCCTCATGTTCCCAATTATCAGAGCTTCCCGAGCTAAAATCAATTTCACATTTATTTTAAACGTTGCTATTTTTAAATACAGTGAACTCTCGATAATGTGAACATCCAAAACAGTAAACTCTCGACAATGTGAAGTAATTACAAACAAAATTTTGGAACATTGAAGGAAAATAAGCGTGGAGGAAATAGAACTAAGTTGTTGACACCACAAGTCTGATCGAGTTCTATATAGAAAGTCAACCTGAAATTACCCTCAAAGCCATAAAAACTAAACTGTTGAGAGAAAATGAAATAAATATTTCCACAAACTGCATATTGAAATAGAACGAAAGAATGACTCCAGAACATTAGGCTTGAGACAAAAATATGCTCAAGACTTTACAAAATGGATACCCCAACAAGGAGAAAAATTAATATTCATTGATGAGTGTGGATTTAATCTTCACATACAAGATGTCACTATAATTGCAGCTATAAACAACGCGGGAGTTGTACATCACACAATCGTTTCTAATTCCAGTGTCAATGCAGATAGATTTAAATTATTTATAGAATTTTTTTTTGAGAAAATCAATCCAGAGTTGGAAAATAACGCTCAAATACACAAGCGACATGACATAAAAAATTTGATCGAATCCAAAAGATGCAACCTTAAATTCTTACCGCCTTATTCTCCAATGCTAAATCCAATCGAAGATGCATTTTCAAAAATAAAATTATGTCCAAGAGCTGAGCTGTGTGACGTTTCAATGGAACATAACATTGTTGATGTAATCGAGCGAAGTATTCAAAAGCTTACTCGGCAAGATTGTTCTAACTACGTTATGGACATGGTTTTGAAAATCCCACAAGCTGCAAGTCGGGAACCCCTTCAATAAGATAAGCAGTTACCTTATCATCAACAATTTATTAAGTCAAATATGTATTTCGCATTTAGTACCGGGTATTCAATTCTTGTTCTTAAATATTTATTTATTAATATGTCAAGAAATACCCCAGTTTGAATTACTATTTATTTAGTTTTATGTAGTAAAGATATTAAATGAAATCACACCGAATTAAAGAATATTTATGTTGATTACATAGCCATACAACTATAGTTGTTAATATTCTTTGATTTAATTTTCAAATATTGGTTTAAAATTACTGCAAATATTATATTTCCTTAGATAAGAATAAAGGTTTCATTTAATTTGGAAAAAGTTTCATTCTATTTGTAAAAGGTTTCATTTCAATTGGAAAAGGTTTCATTCTATTTGTAAAAGGTTTCATTTCAATTGGAAAAGGTTTCATTTAATTTGGAAAAGGGTTCATTTAATTTGGAAAAGGTTTCATTTAATTTGGAAAAGGTTTCATTTAATTTGGAAAAGGTTTCATTTAATTTGGAAAAGGGTTCATTTAATTTGTAAAAGGTTTCATTTAATGTGGAAATGCTATATATAATATCCTGTCGATAGAAAAGAATGGAATCGGACGAAATTAAATGTGTGATCTACATAGACATTTGAACCAATTTAAATCAACCCATCCACATACCATTCTGAAATCTATTAGATATTGCATGCCAATCGGTAAGACTTGTAACATTTTGAGACGTGTTCTAGAAACTTTTACTGGTCAACATAGGCGTGTATCTTTGTTCATTCGGCTGTGACTGATAAATTTTTAATTTAATATATACTCTACCACTCGAACAATCGATTTGATATAAAAAATGTCAATATTAATCGATATTTCCTCACATACTGCAAAAATATTTCGGCCTTCTTCAATAAAGCTTTCGAAATTGAATCGCTCATTTGTGTTAACCCATTCGAAATTAATATGATTTTTTCAGATAGAACAGCATTCAAATATATATTCTTTTAATGTATATATATAATTTTTGAGTTAATTATTCCAGATTAGATCCGTATAGACTAATTTAAAACGAAAAGCCGCGCGAATTTTGAATGGTTACATTTATAAAAATGTATATTTGAACATTTATAAAAATGTATATGTGGAAAATATCTATAATTTTATGATCAATTATTGGTGAAAATACCTCAAGATTGACTGACGGATAAAAAATAGGTAGTAAATGGTAAAGAGAATACCGTAGAACTTGACCCTGTCTCCCTTCCTTCACCTGCTACTCTCTCTCCCTCTCTCTCTCATTTCTCCCCCAATAATACTAAATAAATTAGAGATTAACATTAGTATTACTCCTTCGACGATATACTTGAAAGTACTTATTTTATATTTTCAACAATAACAACGCTTCTTTATTAAGTTATTTCTATATTTCTCGATATGTTTTTGTTTGTTTCTATGTATATTTATGTGTTTTCTTTATATACTCATGCATATACATATAAGCAACAAGAACGATTAAAAACGTATAATTTGTAGAAGGTAATATATTATTTAAGTTTAAAAAAAAATCCATATATACATATGGTACTTCCTTAATAAAAGAAATAAAAATTAAAACATATTTATATGCGTTGTTTTCCACGTTTTCCAAAGCTTAAGCAACGAGTTGGTTTTGTACCAGCTGACAATATTATATTAACAATTGATATAATACAAAATCGGAACCGTTCCGATGTTTTCCGAGGTCAGTTAATACCTCAGTGAATAGGCCATATTACGACGAACATCTCAGTAGGGCCGACTGCAGTTTTCTGGCCCGCCTTAGAGTAAAAACGTGTCATTTTCAACACCAGACATTATTTTGAAAATACTGATCCAGCCAGGTGCCTATTTTGCAACGTTTTTCTTTCTGTGGCACACATTCTATAAGAATGTCCATCCTCAAGGATCGACAACCTATAGGAAGAATTCTGGATTTCTCAACAAGATACATGTTGCCGAAAATTCGAAACTGCCTCCATAAACAAGGCATTTTGACATCTAAATTCTCATATTATTTAATAACGTAATTTTTATATTCATCAAAACATAAAAAAATATATATATGTGTACATAAAATTCATCTTCCCTATAATCTAATTATTATTAATTTATTTTCTCATTGAAATCTAATCTGTAAATAACTTGGACCACTTATAGGCGCAAATGATCATGTTATCCGGCGCCTTTTAGCCATATTTTATAAAATTATTGGTAAAATATATTGATAAATAAATTAATAATAATACAAAATCTAAACAGATGCAAATTTTGAATATATATAACCACTCAATGACACATTATCTTACCTGTTACAATTTGGTCTTCGGGTTTCTTATTTTCATTACGTTTGAATACAAAATCACCCAATGCTCTCGATAATGCCAGATTACCATTGACACGATTAAATTCCACCCAGCCGCCACCTTCATTGATACGTTTCGATTCAGCTTCATTATTTGGTTTATGGTCCATTGATAATGTTTCGACTTTGCCATTTATGCACGCAACGGCACGTGAATCACCGGCATTGGCACAATATAATCGATTATTTTTAATTAACACCACAACGGCTGTTGAACCGGCCATTTGCTCGCCCCATGATTCATTGTATAACATTTCATAGTCAATATCTAAGAATGCCTACAGGACAATAGAAACAAAAGGACATGACAGTTTGTTAGAATGTCTATTGATGGTTGGATGGATAGGTGGGAGTACAATCAGCAAACGTATAAAAAATGTATGCAACTTACTTGCTTTAAGGCTTTTTCAACATTATCCTTGTATTCGGGTCGTTTCAAAACAAACTTGTGTAAATGTTTGCCAGCATATTGTGCTACTGTTGCACCGCCATGGCCATCATAGACTGCAAAAAATGCAGTACCCGGATCATCGGGCAACGATAGAATGTGTGTATGTGAATCTTCCATATTTATGCGCCAGCCCTGCATACAGCTGGAACCCACTCTGTACAATTCATTTTGGCAATATGATGATTCCTTGGCGGTGATTGGTTCTGACAGTGTTTGACCCATATTGATAATTTTTTATTTTCCTAGAAATAAAAAAAGAAAAGAAAATATAAAAATGTTATATCAATTGGAAATATTTATCCTCACAATAAGTTCCAATTAATACCAAGGGGATAAAAAATGCGCCAATGCTTGCATTATATTGATTAATATCCGATAAGGTATTCTTTTTCGGTTTTAGTTCGGTTGTGATTTGTAAAACAACGAAATCTTATCGTTGCCACAGCAAAAAGGGGTAAACGTACGAAATGACAAAAAATTAATGTGAACAAAGGCCAAGAAGTGAAGAAAATTTTAAAATATACTTTTTTATATAAAATAATTATTTTGACAACTTAATGTTGTCACGGGACAAATAAAATTGTTTTGTACAATTATTTCCGATACTGATATTAGAGCTAGATAGTGGGGAAATGAGTTGCGATATAAACAATTGTTCCGTTCCTCGGGGTTGCTTAAAATTGTTGCACGTGTAAACGCCGAGTTAGCGTACTTTTCATACCCTTCACCACACTGTCCGTCCATGTATTTTTGTGTGCAAAATACATGTCGTATTTATAATCCGATTTGGACTAAATTTGGTACAGGTCACTTATTTAGACCAATAACACCCATATATATTTACGTCAGATTTTATGAAAATGGTGCACCAAACTCCCAATATTTGTCCGATTGAGACAAAATTTTGAACATCGTACTGAATTAAAGCCAGATTGATGTATGCGAAGAATTGTTGAAATCGGTTCAGATTTAGATATAGCTCCCATATATAATTTCGTCAGATTTTATGTAAATAGTGCACCAAAATGCAAAGGTTTATCCGATTAAGTCTAGATTAGTGTATGCGATGTATTGTTAAAATCGGTTCAGATTTAGGTATAGCTAACATATATAGCTTTTTTTGTGTGGCAAAGATATTACGTCTGTTCTATCAACAGAATATTGTACATATGAGCATCTCTTATATGTACCCAAAGTGCGGAAGGGTATCATATAGTCGGTCCCGCCCGAATTTTGAACTTTCCTTACATAGTAAAAAAGGAAAATTTTCAATCACGCTCTCAGTTATAAATTACATAGTGTCCAAATTAGATGGTAATCCTTCACAACAGCCGATCACCTCTTAGCTCATATGGTGGGTACACATTCCGAAAATGATTATTATATCCTTAAGTTCCACGGTAAACAATTTTTTTAGCTCAAAACTCACCAAGAAATTAAACTTAGATATGTATAAAAGTTGAATTTTATGCGATGTATTCTGGTCAAATAACTTTGATAAAATGATTAATTGTTAGGACTTTGATTTGTTTTGATAGTCAACCACAATATAAATAGTTCAATTTTATTATTGTATCTATAGATACAAAACAAAAAAATGGTAATGCATTTCGACACAATTAACGAAATGAATGAATCACACTCGCAGTTTCGGAATAAAAGTTCATTTTATTCGGAACATAAAAAATGTCGTTCATACATTAATTAAAAAAACAAAACAAATTCTATTTTATTTGTTATCTAAAAATTACTTCGTTTATATGTATGCTGCGATTGAGAATGTGCTGAAATAAACCTGACAAAGCGAAGATCCAATAGTACGGCAAAGATCAGTCCTTTAGTCAAATCATGCAATTGTTTTTTTTTTTTGAATTATTTTTAGAACTTTTTACTTCTTTAAATTCAGAATAGAATTTGATTTGAAACTATTTTTAAATGCAACGACGTACGCATTGGAATTTTTTTTGTTGTTGCTATTTCCGTCTGAAAGTGATTAGACGAAGAATGACGACGTGAAAGTGAAATTGTTGTTTGCACAATTGTAGCTAGCTAGCTGGCTATATACTTAAGGTGTTGATGAGCGAAATTCTGTTCTGGCCATAATAAAGACGATAAAGAAATTGAGAATTCTGTATGTATGTAAACCACAAATTTCAAAGATAAACAAAACATAAATGTTTAAAGGTAAGAAAGTTGTGTATTTGGGAAGAGTTAGCTAAAACAATTATTTCTTATATTTTTTCTTTTCAATAGATTTGAGATGAGCCTAGACAATCGCGCAAGGATTCATAGTTTTTTTGTTTTCTTAACTGTGGCCATTATACAATAGGACAGAACCGCAAATGAAGCATAACAACCATCAGGCTGGTGGTATGGAGTTTCAATACGCTATTTATGAATTGAGTTAAAACAAGTGAAAAAGCGTTAAGTTCGGCCGGCCGAACTTTGGATACACTCTACCATAGATACATAGGACAGATACTTGAAATGAAAATAATTCTAATTCTACACAACGGTTTATGATAAAGACGATAAAGAAATTGAGAATTCTGTATGTATGTAAACCACAAATTTCAAAGATAAACAAAACATAAATGTTTAAAGGTAAGAAAGTTGTGTATTTGGGAAGAGTTAGCTAAAACAATTTTTTCTTATATTTTTTCTTTTCAATAGATTTGAGATGAGCCTAGACAATCGCGCAAGGATTCATAGTTTTTTTGTTTTCTTAACTGTGGCCATTATACAATAGGACAGAACCGCAAATGAAGCATAACAACCATCAGGCTGGTGGTATGGAGTTTCAATACGCTATTTATGAATTGAGTTAAAACAAGTGAAAAAGCGTTAAGTTCGGCCGGCCGAACTTTGGATACACTCTACCATAGATACATAGGACAGATACTTGAAATGAAAATAATTCTAATTCTACACAACGGTTTATGTAAACCATTATGTACACAAAATACAATTTTCAGCAATTTTTAGTGAAAATCCCAAAGCGTGGATTGATACTAATAACGCATGGTAGAATATACAATCCTCAAACTACTGCAATTTAGATTATCGAAAATGGTTAAATCGCCTGAGAATTCCATAATTTGTAGGATAAAACTGACTATATCGAGTAACGACTCTGGTAGAATACGCCTATATGGGGATAACCCCTACACACAGAACTAATCAGATAACTATTTTAATATAAGAAGAGGGTTATATGGGAACTACCCCTAAAAGAAGAAGAAGATTTGTTACCATATGCGACTACAAAATACCAAATAACAGCGAATTCGGCTGAAAACGCGCTCAAGAACCCCAAAAATTGTGGGTGTCTTGTATAAGGGCTATCCGAAAAAATGGGCCTATATTTATAATTTTTAGTAAAGAAATTTGGTACCCAAAAAGAACCCAATTTTGAGAATTTAAGAGAACTCAGTTGAATAACGCGCTCAAGAACTGCTAAATACCGAAAATAGGGGATACCTTTATATGGGGGCTACCAGAAAAGCGGACCGATATTTATAATTTATAGTGGAGATATTTGGTACCCAAAATGAACCTAATGTACCAAATTTCGGCGAATTCGGTTGAAAAGCACGCTCAAGAACCTCAGAATATCGAAAATTGGGCTGTACCATTGTGGGGGCTATGCTTAAACAAACAGATCCTCATATACTTAAAAGATTAGTAACTATTTATCGGATTTTGATTTTGTTTAAAGGATTATATTTTTCTTAGTAAAAGAACATCAAGAAACAGTTTACATATGATTTGGCCCTTTTTAAATACTCAAAATAAAAATAAAACATCACCTATGACCTTCAACTAAATACTATAAAAAATGATCACTCTTATAAAATAGTTAATTCTGATGAAATTCTAAAATATTCGAAGTAATATGATGCATTTTCTTCCTCTTTATCTTTAGTTGGCTGCTTTTGTGAGTGTGTCATACAGGAACCTTTATTTCCACAATGTTCATCATCCACTATGGTTAACTATCTTATCAGAATGTTATTGTATCCCGAACGTCCCGTAACACGTCGAGTTCACTTATCGGGTTAAATGCAAATACACTTTATACTCAAGATGGCATTACTTTGTTTGCCTTTATTTTACAATAATAATAACAATCATCGCAATCACTTGCCGGTTGTAAACTTTGTTAAAAGGCGGAAGAAGTAGGGGAAAACTAATGGAAAATTACTCATTCATTACCATTCTCAAGTCACTATTCACTACTTACTCAACTGACTGATTGACTGACTGTCGGCCGACTGGAATGGACTACTACTTGCCGTCTAATTGAATGTAAATCAGTGAGTTTGTTGTTGGGTTTTTAATATTTTTTCAATGGACATGAATTGAAGGAACGGTTGGTATTCCTCAGCTTTGTTGTTGTTGCTGTGTCTACGACAGTTCAATGTGACGCATTGCATTCTGTTTACAATATCACAATTTCATTTCATTGAAATATATAGTCTGCCTTTATGTGTTCTTAAGGCAATGGGGTTAAAGTATCAACCATTTTTTTGTTGTAAATGTATAAACACAAACTTGGATAGCTTTTAAGTATTTGAATGGATATCATGCCGTGGATGCAAAATATTGATATCAATAACACAAATGTCATTTATAATAATTATTCTTTGTATATTTGTATATATTATATAATAGATTCCAATATAGTAGACGGTCATAAGGAAAAAAAGAAACACAAAATATTAACTACTATACTTACTAGACATGAATATATGCATGTAGAAATTAAACAGAAATCGTATTTTTAATATTATCAAATTCTCTGAGGATTACTATATTGAGGAATTATGATGGTCTATAAAACAGGGTCATTAAATCTGAAAAATCAAAAGTGCTCTTTAAAAATAAACCTAATATATCAGAGAGAATGGATTTTCTATGTGTGCAACCGATGGGTAACTATATGACCATTTTATATAAATAATTTTAAAAAAATATTATATGTAAATACATACATTTCAACTATACACAAACAAAGAGACGAGAAGTAAAACATAAAAGTTAATAATGTTGTTTTAACCATATTTAGATAGTAGATATAATTTTACCATACTATTATAGCATAAAACAATAAAATATCATAAAAAAGATGTGTGAAAGAGCTAAAAAAAAAATTAAGTTTATGATGATAAAGAAGACGCAAAAGCAATATTATAAAACCCTGGCCTACGTAAACATTTTATAACTTTCAAAAAAGAA